CAAAGACACATCTCACAGCATCACTTAGAATAAAAATGACTATGTAATGAGTTCATAAAATGTATAAGCAAGAGTTTTACCTGAATTACAGACAATTATTTAAAATTCCATATTTAAGTAAGTACCTTATTGGCCCCAGTTAACTGAGGCCAAAATCTTTATACCAGGTACCTAAAGATAGGCTATATTGAGGCATCTAAATAAAAAACAGTTTCTTTCATGGGAGCTGTTAACATCACCCTTTGAAACACGACCCTTTTATTTACGTGCCTAAATATAGGTTTACGTGCATACTATCAGGCACCCAGAAAACAACAGTTTGGTCTGACAAATTCACGAACTTCTGATATTTTTTTTTGAGGTCTGGAGAAAACTGAAGTGCAGCGAGTGAACCCAAATCTGAAGGTCTCTCAGGAAGTGATTTATTAATGAGTTTGGGCCATACACAGCATGACTACATTTCGCATAGTGTCTTTCATACAAACTGTCCCAAAACACTCCAGGGAGTTAAACACATAATCAGGTAAGAAAGAAATTAAGAGCCAAATATACGGGGGGAAAAAACCTTAGATTTGAAAAGAGAGTCCATGAGGTAGGAAAATACAGGAATTTTGTTGCATAATGAGGATGAGAAAGGAGGCCTGTGCTGCATGAGCAAAGGATGTTTGGGTAAAAGTACAGAAAGACAAGGTACAACATGTAAACTGGAGAGAATCTATCAAGGGCCTGGCATTGTTTTAACTAGATTTTAAAATAAATAAGAAACTTAATGGAGTAGAGTAATGAAGTAATATAGCCTGGCTTTATACATGTGATTAAAATACAAAGAAAACTTAAATCTAAGTCTGAAGAGCAGAAACCGGGGAAGAAGAGGTAACAAAGAATTCAATAGTTAAGAAGAGAGGAGATGAAGGCACAGATCAGGAGTTAAGCAAAGGTGGAATTCAGGCAAAGGTACACTCGCAGTGTTGTGGAGGTGGAGATAAGTAGCTGTGGATGAGGGAGTCGAGGGAAGAAGAGAAGGAGAGTGCAGTGTTATCAAGTTACTGAGGGTGAAGGCAAATAGGAAATCTGAGTTGAGGCGGGAAAAGGAGAGGATTCAGTTTGCATGAGCATGATCTTCTTGTCCAAGTGTAATATTTCAACTTTGGAAACATTTATCAAAAGGGTATTTTCATGAAGCCATGAGGACACTTGGTCAAGGTGGACAGGTAGGAGTTATTAAAGGTGCTAGAGCAAATCTTTCAGAAAACATCCAGTCTTGATTTAAAAGTTGTCACTGATGAGGAATCTACCATGATTCTTGGTAAATTGTTCCAATGGTTAATTACTTTCACCATTCAAAATTTACACTTTACTTCCAGTCTGAATTTTGCTAGCTTCAATTTCTAGCCATTGACTCATGTTATATCTTTCTCTGCTAGCCTGAAGAGTCCATTATTAAATATTTATTCCCCACATAGCTACTTAGACTGTAATCAAGTTACCCCTCAATCTTCTCTTTGTTAAACTAAATAGATTGAGCTCCTGGAGTCTATCATTATATAAGGAATATTTTCTAATCCTCCAAACATTGTTGTGGCTCTTCTCTGAACCCTCTCCAATTTATCAATATCTTTCTTGAACTGTGGATACCAGAACTGGACACAGTATTCCAGCTATGGGCATCCAGTGACACATGCAGAGGTAAAATAACCTCTCTACTTCTACTCGAGATGTTTACGCATCCTAGGATCGCATTAGCTTTTTTGGCCATATAATCACATTGGGAGCTCATGTTCAGGTGATTATTCACCACGATCTCCAAACCTTTTTCAGAGTCACTGCTTCCCAGTATAGAGTTCCCCATCCTGTCAGTATGGCCTACATTCTTGGTTGGAAGGTGTATATATTTAGCCATATTAAAACACACATTATTTGCTTGTGCCCAGTTTACCAAGTGATCCAGAATGTTCTGAATCAGTGACCTGTTCTCTTCATCATTTACCACTCCCCCAATTTTTGTGTCATCTTCAAACTTTATCAGTGAGGATTTTATGTTTTCTTCCAGGTCACTATTAAAAATGTTAAGTAGCACAGAGCCAAGAACCAATCCATGTGGGACCCCACTGGAAACACACTGGCTCAATGATGATTCTCCAATTACAGTTACATTTTGAGACCTATCAGTTAGCCAGCTTTTACCCCATTTAATGTGTGCCATGTTAATTTTATATTGTTTTAGTTTTTTTAATTAAAATATTGTGCGGTACCAAACCAAATGTCTTACAGAAGTCTTATTACATCAACACTACTACCTTGATCAACCAAATATGTAACCCCATCAAAAAAGATATCAAATTAATCTAAAGAATCTATTTCCCATAAATCCACGTTGGTTTGCATTAATTATATTACCTTACTTCAGTTCTTTAGTAATTGAGTCCTGTATCAGCCACTCCAATATCTTGCCTGGGATTGATGTCTGACTGACAGGCCAATAATTACCTGGGTCATTCTGTTTACCCTTTTTAAAATTTGCCATAACATTAACTTTCTTCCAGTCTTTTGGAACTTCCCCAGTGCTTCAAGACTTATTGCAAATCTATATTAATGTTTCAGCGAGGTCCTCAACCAGCTTTTTAAAAACTCCTTTATGCAAGTTATCTGGACCTGCTGATTTTAAAATGTCTAACTTTTAATGTCTAACAGTAGCTGCTGTTTAACACCCTCCAGTGGTACTAGTGGAATAGAAAGAGTGTTATCATTAGTTGATGAGCCTATATCATCTGTTTTTCCACAAAAACAGAACACATATTTATTGAAAATTTCTATATTTTCTGCATTATTATAGATAATTCTACCATTTTCATCTAGTAATGGACCAATATCATTATCAAGATTCTTTAGTTCATAATATATTAGAAACCTCTCTCTTATTGTTCTTAACTCTGCTCCCATATATTTCTCCTTGTATCCCTTGATTTCCCTTATCAATTTTCTACTATTCCTAATTTCTGATTAAAATTCATTACTGTAAACTTCCCCTTTTTTCCATTTGTTATATATTATTTTTTAATTTTTACAGCTGCCTTCACTGCCCTTCTAAACCAGAACAACTTATTAATCAGTATGGCCTTCTTCCTCAATTGTGGCTTTTTGGGAATCTAGTAAGGTGTTTTTAAATGACTCCCAATGATCATTCACATGTTTCTGATTAAAATTCTTCCTCACAACTGATTTGGCTCCTAACGGTTTTCAGTTTTGTGAAATTGGAGCTATTAAAGCACCAGTAAATATGTAACTAGTCTTGATTTTATTCTGCTTGCATATTATAAATGTGATCAAGTCATGATCACTTGTACCTAAACTACAATTAATTTTTAGTTTTGTGATCAATTCCTCTTTATCTGTTAGGATAAGGTCTAATGACCGCTCCACACCTTTAAGCGGGGTAGGAGGAATATTATCTGGCTGGCTGAGGGAAGAGGAACAGTGCTCTATGGGTGGGTGGGGAGGGGAGAGATCAGAAGCTGCTGCAAAAGCAAGGAATGGGTCAGGGTTGTGACACTGATTCATCCCCTGAGACCGGAAGGGCAGAAGGATTTAAAAGGGGGCAAGCCCAGGTGCCCTGTTCCACAGAGCAGGCAAGGCAGCATCCACCCTCCATGCCCTTTAGGTGGCAAAATACCAGGTTTGGTCAGGACCTGCTGTGGGGATCATGCTAGCCGCCTCTTTTTAGGGGAGCTGGGAAGGAATTTTTCCCTCATCACCAGACTGGCCTACGTGGAGTGGAGGTTTTTTCGCCTTTCCCACATTGGGTTCAGGGAGGGTTTTGTTGATGTGAGGCATGAAGGGAGTTAGGCTAATATGTCACAACTCGTTATGTAAGTGTGGGGCAGCTGTCCAGTGCAGGTACTTCACAGGGAAGGTATACACAGTCACTGGATAAATGGCTTGATAAAGGACTTAAAAGGTGTTGATAAAAGGAACAGAAGAGGGCAGGGGTGTGCGGGATTCCTATGAATGGTATGGCAGGGAGCCCACCCTCCTTTCTTACAGCCCACCTTAACCCTCCTATGTGGAGGGAGGTGCATAGGAAGGTCCCAGAAATGGGTTGGCTCCGGGGCCTGGATGGAAAAAGGCAGGGGGCTGGCAGAAGCTCTCCGGGTAGTTATTGAATGAACTTGGGGTTACTGGCACTGTGCACTTTTACCTGTCGGGCAGTCCTAGACATCTAATAATAAAGTTGCTGCCTGATTAAAATCATATCAAGTGTATCCTGTCCTTCTTTCGCTATAGCCGGACAATAAAGAATTCCCTCGTGTGGACTGCAACACTTTTTGAGTTACGAAATTGTCATATATAATGTTTAAAAATTCCACGGATATTTTAGTACTGGCAGCAGGAGATCTCCAGCATATGTCACTCTAATTGAAGTCTCCTATGATCACACAGCTTTTTTCCCTGGACACATTGTAGATAGGTCTGTAAGGACGCAATCATCCTGTTCCCAATGTTTTTTAGCGATCTGTTAGGACACGGATCCATAAGCATTCAAATTTCTTCTGAGTTATCAGTGACTCAAAACAGGTAATGCCATTTCTCACACAGAGTGCCACTCCCCAACCCGTTTTGCACACCCTATCCTTCCTAAATAGGTGAACACACCATCATCATTAGAGGGAGGTCAGGACAACAACTGTATGCAAGACACAAGTCTCTGCCCAGAAAAAAATCAAGACAAACATCTGCTTACTCTACATAATGATTGCCATGATTGCACATCAAATTGTAAACTGAATTACAATTATAATATTCTCCTTCAATCTACATGAGCAGTCAACTAGACAACTTTCTACAAGTGAGGCAACCAACAAGGATACTCAGGAAACCTACAAGGAATTTATTTTTTATTTAATTAAGAAGATGACTGTTACTTTCAACTTATTTCATTTTGCTGTGTTAAAGCATGTTCACTTGCAAGTACTATAAATATATATTTTTACAACAATATTTACCTTCTGACTGTCATGTTCAAAAGTCGAAAACCAATGTTCTGCAGTTTTCATAAGATGTGTGAACATTGCACTGAGGGGAAAAAATGGAAATTTGATGTTAAATAATACATTGCCCACAGAAGTAAAGGAAATGTAAAGACAACAGGAAGTTGTTAAAACTTACTAGGCGTCATGTTCCAGATATTCAGGGTTCAAAAGAGCTTTCATTTCCTCACTGAAACAGCCAAGAGTGAACAATCAAAATTTGAATATTTATTTTTGGTCAATGTTCCCCATGTACTATTATGTACTTATAAGCCAACTTTGTATAAAGTGCAAATGAGAAAAACTAGCCCTTTTTTTTTTTTAATTAAAAAGAGTAACTCCATTGAACAAATGAAGTCTTTCCTTTCTATAAAGATCAAAAACAAATTAGCTGCCTTGTCTCAGCTACAATGAAGTAACCATCTAATTATTCCAAATAACAAATTACTGAATGTCACAATGTATTATTTGAATATGCTTGATCTAGACTAATTGATTACTGCACAATCTATCACTGTTTGTCCAAAACAAAAAAAATATGGTTACCGGTCAAATATGCAATATCAAAACATTAATTTATTTTGTTTTAATAGCTTCTATTTTTATTGTATTTTAACAGCAATTAATCAGTGACAGTACCTCTTATCCATCTACTTTGCTGCCTAGCTCCCTTTTCAGTGGGGATGGGATGCTATGCATATTACACGGTTATTCTGAGCATCCTGCAAGCTTACTTTCCACTGAAGAGCATCTTGTAATGCAACTTCAGGATTTCTAAAGATAGACACTGAATGAAAACAAATACATGTAAGCACACTCCATCCCTATGCTAACACTGATCTTAGACAATCTTGCTAAGAGAAGTTATGTTATAACAGGGGTAATTAAATTATATTAATGCAGCTGGGTTCCAAAAGCAAATGATGTAAGACAACTGCAAAATATGGCTGCACAACACTAAGTGATTCAAGCAGGCAACTTGTTAAAAAACAAGTAGAAGCTTTATTCATGGAGCAAGAGAATAAAAAGCATTTGAATTTAGTTGCGGGACAATCATTTGTGTCGCAATTGTTATGTGTACACTATTTTCATGAAATGGAGAAACAATGCCTAAACTTAATATTACTTTAAAGTTAAATGATAGTCACATAATATAGCTATTAAAAATTGTATGTGGGATGAAAGAATTATCGATCACTGAAATTTTTTTCTATAGTGATTATTTAAAGGTATGAGAAGAAAATATTGATACACAACTTGTCCATGGACTTCTTTGATCTGCCTCCACTCTACAATGATAGAGATTAAAGCACATCCGGGTCTTGTACAATGCAGTGAAAATAGTATATGTACCGGTGTTAAGTTGATACTTTTCCTCTGGTTGGTCCCTCTCTCTTTTTTCACTGACTAAAATGTAAGAATTACTTCTTCTCCAAAAAGCCCCTTTATGAGTTACTTTTCACTTTCATGGAGGCATGGGGGCAATTAATACATCTCAAAGATTAGCCTATTAATCATGATAAAACAAAAAACTAATAAAAGAAAACTTAACTATCAGTTTTATTTGGATAGACCTTAAAGCCAATATGTTAATTCTACAGAAGATACAGTTAATTCTTAACTCTACAATAACATGGAAAAATGTGACAATTTCTATATTACATGGATAAATATACAACACTTGCCTTGATTGTGCAGCTTCATTCGCATGTAAAAAGGCTTGGTGGTCACAATGCAGGATAAAGATTATAGGTGCTAAAAGTTCATGCATACCCTAAACATTAAAAGGAAACAGAAGTACAGTAAGATGTTTCATTCATGCACCAGCACAGTAATGCTCCACCTCAGCATCCAGCAGCCAATAATATTAGCAGCAGCAGCAGAATGAAAAGCAAGAAAATTTACATTCTTAGACTTGATTTATAATCAATGGGTTTTGTTTTAAATTCTGATTAAATCTAAGTGTTTATTCGCCTATAAAATATGGGAAGCAAGTTATTCTCCCTTTTCATAACGTAACAGACAACAATTTGGCAACGGTAGACAAACCCGCACCTGGCAGTTACTCCAAGATCTATGTTCATAAATATGAATTTTATTTATGATAATTACAATCATGAGCTACAGTATCAAGATCTGCAATAAGGACAAATTATGAAATCTAAACTGACTTTTATTTGATAATGTTCCAAAACTGGGATCTCAGTAGCCTTTGGAAAAAACAAAGGCAGCCATTTGGGGAATTAGAAAATGAGATATCCATGCCCATGGAGACCAGAACTAAAGGGTTTTTTTTTTTTTTAAAGTATCTTCATTATGTTTATATTGAAAGATTTATACGGAAAGATGTAGAAAACCTTTGCAAGCCAATACGTGGCAAAACCTTAATATTGTTCTATTTCAGATGTTTGGTATCTATAGTGCAAAACCCAAAAAACCCTGAGTTAAGAAAGCACAGAGGTTGAACCAGAGATGGTGCCCTATTCAAACTGTTCCCACAATCTCAGATCAGATGAATGTTTTGGATAGAATGATCAGCAGTGAAATACCTCATTATATTGACATCTTAAATTGTCATCACTTGGCTGAAAAGATTACACCCCTTAAAGAGATTAAAAAGGCAAAGCAAACCTCTCCCAAATTATTGCTTCTGCCTCTATTTGTACTGTATTGAGGTTACATCTGAAAGGCCTTTTCCCCCCACAATCAGAGGCACTTAGGGTGTCAAGCTGGTTCTTCAAAGAAGCCTAAACTCCCTTAGGCCCCTTTGATGGTCCCAGCCTTAGGAGAGTATCCGACACAGGTCGGACCACAAATCACCTTCTTGAACACTTCACTAAACTGCCATTCCAGCCTCCTGCCACAAGATAATGCAATTCATGTGGATGGGTGTGCCACAGCCAGTTAAACAACAGGGAGCCCAGAACCACCAGATGGGTCCCTTCAGCAGCGGAAAAACCTCACAGAGGGAGGAGCTGCTCATCTGAGAGTGTAGGGGTGCCAGAATAGAACAGCAGTAATATGCGGAAAAGAAATTCCCTCTTCAATACCCACTCCTAGAACACAAGGGAGCAAGATATTGTAGGGAGAGGGGTGGACGCAGATATTTGGAGGGAAGGTTTTATAAGAGAAGTTGCAGTATTACCAATCCCATACATTCAAAAATTGTGAGTCAGCCCTCCCTCCCCAATCATAAGATTTTTAAACAATAAATTTGGAGGGTTTTCTCTTTGCCTTCCGATTTCTGAGCTTTTAGGGAACATTTGGGTAATGTTTTCAAGCTTTTCTCTGCAACAATGAGGATTAGAAATTTATGTTTGGGTGTTTTTTTTAATTAAAGCATTTGATTATTCCATGAACAGCTGCTTTCAGAAAATAATCAAATATGGCAAGACTTGTGATAAGATCACTAGTTAGCACCACCAGGTTTGGGAGAGAGGGACCTGCAGCATGGGAATGGGGAAGAGAAAGGAGAGTTTGGTAAGGCCAGAGAGATGAAGATAGACAAAACTACCAAAATTACTGAGATAAATTGCAGGCTACATAGGCTGTAATGTTATTGACTTCCCACTCCCTAAAAGTTAAGCATAAATATAAAAATCTACTGTTGTCTAAATCTTCTATCACCCCATACATATGAAAATTGTGTAAGAGAAATGAAGCTGCCAAGAATGATTGTCTAACACAAACCTACTACCAAAAAATTAAACATACATACTACAGAGTAAGAACATAAAAGGACATAAGACAGGATTAGTTATAGAAGATAAGAGACCAGCATAGCACACAATTTCCCAATATTATAGCATAACAACTTGTGAATAAAGCAGAATCATAAAGTGACTATCCACATAAAACTGTAACAAAGCAAATGGATGATAAAATATCAGGATTTCAAAAAGACACCTCTGATCCTTCAGTTAAAAGAGCACTTTAAACATTTAGAGATTTTTGGATTGGTAGTAGAAGCCACTAGTGTATTATATACACATATTTTTCTACAGTACATCAACAGTTTACTAGAACTTTTTAGTGTTAATAAAAGGGTTGACAGAATTCAGATAATTTCATGACACTTGCCAACAGCAGCAAAACGCTGATTTCATAATACAGTCTCTGGTTTTAAAAGAAAACCAAAAATACAGCATTTCTAGAAATGAAATACAAATTGATACATTTCAACATTATATTGAAAAAGACAATATAATTATGAGTGAACAATGGCTGACCTAATGGCTTAGCTTAATTATTTTATTTCTCTTTAATTAACTAGAGCCAGAATTTTGGCACCCAAATTTGTACGGCCTTTTGAAGATAATGTTAATGATCATTTTTACATATTTTTATGAAAAATAAATATACTCGCTTTATACTTCTACACGTACCAATGCTTTTTAGAAAATCAAAGATCTACTGATGTTTAAATCTTAAAAGTCTCTATTACTGTTTTGTAAAATTCTATTCACCCATAAATATGACTGGGGAGAGTAGTATATTTTGCTAGTCAAATAAAATCTTACTTTATATATTGGTCAAAAAAGACAATGAAACCTACTACAAAGACACACACACACAAAGAACATACAAACAAATTGCTCCTTGTAAGAAAGCATTGTAAAACTTTGCTGATATTGTGAATTAATTTTTTTTAAAGTACAGTTTCAATTAAAAGCTGTGAACTTGACCACTTTTATAATTGATGAGGTATAACAGTGTTCCAGACCTTGGAAATCTACAATCTAGCTAGGTTTGTATGGATCCAAGTCACTGTAGACCCAGGGTGCCTCCCAAATATTTAAACCCAGAACTAACAACAACAAGGTCTTTTGTTCTTCCACACTAGCCTTTCGGAGAAATAGCTTCAATAAGATAAAAGGGTTTTGTTTGCTTGTTTACATTTGTGTACAAGTAGGCCTTTGGTGTGTAGAAACTGAGAGAAAGATACGTCATTTGTATTTAGTTCTAAAACTTGTTATTACACCAATTTCTTAAAGGACTGACTTTCAAAATTTAGGTCCTGTTCCTGTAAAAATGTTATCTATTGCATGCATGAATCTCCCCCTACCAGTTAACTGTTGCAATATACCAAGGAATGTTGCTGTCATGGGAGATCATGATCACAAAGGCAGAGGGGATCGCAAAGGTAGCTAGGGCCATGAAGGGCTTTGAATATCAGGGCAAACACATTGTACTGGACGTTGTGGTTCCCTTGGGAGCCAGCATGGAACACTTGAGTGATGTGTTAGTGCAACCCTAACTGCTAAGCAGACGAGCGCTATGTTTTGTTAGCTGAAGCTATTTTGGGATGTGTGGCTTCATTCCTAGATACAAAATGAAATAAGCAAGGCTGTAGGTCATGAATGAGTGGATTACCGTGGACAGGTATTTGACAGGATTAAGAGAGACCAAAAATTATATGCTGACCTCACTACATACGCAGTACTTCTTGTCAACTAATCCTTGACACAGTATTGACAGAGGCTTTGAAAGAGAGAGTCATCTACAGGCAAGAGGGCCAAGAATACAAAGAAAAGATGGTTATTATTGATGATCGTTTTGTGGAGGCATTCTTGATTCAAGAATGCAGATCCTGGAAACAAGCAGTGGTGATGGGAATGGAAAAAGAAGGGATTAAGAAGAGAAAGATTAGTTGGCTGTTTTGTGACTTTGGCACAGCACCACAATTCTTGGCTACTGCACTGAACACTTGTCATAGATATTAGCCATTTTTCATCATTCCAATTCCTTTTTTTTTCTGCCCTTTACTCCTCCCTTCACTCTCATGGCAACCTTCTTCTGAAATTACTGCACTGTTGAAGTGACACAGTCAAAAACAGAGGTAAAAAGAAGTTTTCTTTCTCAACAGCCTGTAGGCTCGCAAAATTGAACCTGTTCTTTTATCTGCCTATGTTCATTTAGCCCACCAAGCAGTCTTTATTAAAGCCGAGGCATCAGGCAGTCAAAGTTCATTAATACCATTTATATAATCTCTGCAGTTTCAATTAACTCAGCAAGACACTCTACTACATGATAACAGTCTCATTAATTCAATAAAATCCCATAACTATTAACAATATGGTCTATGTTAAACGGGGTGTCACCTAGTACAAAATAATAGCTTTAACAGCTTGTGTTGAAACTCAGGGTGTTTTTTTTTTTTTAATTTGATCTAACTAAATATTCAAGCCTTACGTAGCAAGGTATTATTTCTCTGTAAGGAATCTACAGGATCTTAAACACAAGCAGGGGGTAATTAAGTCTTTTTAAGTCATATCAAAGAGTGAAATTATACTTCTTGTTTAATAAATGATACACTAAATTAGCTAGAATGTGATCTTCCATCTCCCTCATCACATATACTCTGGGTTATATACACTAGAAATGAGGAAGGCTGGGTACTGTTGGAGTGTTTTCCACAACAGTGCCCTGAAAAATACAGCTTGCTGATCTAATTTTTTTCTCTCCATGACACAAGGTAGCTCTCTACTCGCAGTCCATCAAAAATAAAAAATAGCCAGCTGATAGAAATTTGCTGCTTTTGTTAACTGTATATTTGATTTTCGATATCATCTACAAGACAGTTCTTGATAAGTTGCTGCTTCAACTTAAATATGCCGATCTTTTCATGAGACTCAAATAATTTCCTAGCTTGGGGATGGAGTGGTTGCAGAATGTGTGAAAGGATACACTATGTTATAAATATTTGTACGCTTATAGCAACTCTGCATTTTTGTCATAAATCATTTTCTGTCCACATACAGTTTCTCTACAGTTTAGTTCTTGTTCATTGTTACTCAGTTCTTAGTCTCAGCACTGTCTGTTAAATTACTCCAAAAGTAAACATAAAATATTCTGAATTCTATGTTTCTTTCAGTACTGTACATGAGTCTTGTTAAAGCATTTAAACATTATGCTCATTTTAAAACCTTAAGAGCAAATGCTGAATTTAGCTTTCATCTTAAAATGAATGCACAATTGGTGCATTTGAAATGTTATCTTTTACCTTTTAACAGTAGGAGACTACTGGTTTGGGTAGATATTCTATCTAGTAATATAATGGAACTTGTATTAACATATATATTGATAAAAAGATTAAAAACTTTTCAGCTGCACCCACTATATTGCATCATATTTTGGTGCTGCAGTATATGGTCAATGGCCAAACAGCGAACGTACAGTATATCTGCATCATGTTGTAGAAATCATAGAAGAATTTCAAATGTTATGTTGTAAAATTGCTTGATTATCCCTAATCAACCCTTCAACTTCTTTATATTGTTATTCAGTATCATATATTTTAACTGCGGTGCATATATTCAGTATTTATCCATCTAAGCCCAGAAAAGCTTTTGGTTTAAAAGAGGTTGTTAATAAACATTCAGAAAAGTTGGAAGATAAGATGTAGGAGCTTACAGAAGACAATTTGAGGGAATGTCTTATCATGAGGAGGAAGCATATGTGCTTGAATGAGCTTACTTTTCTTACCATGCAGCTGACAAGTAGCTCTTTGATTGCTTAAGCATTATGATACAACTTTGGATACAATAAAACCTACATTATTGTTCAATCATTTGTCAAGCTCTATAGAAAATGTTGAGTCAATGGATGCCACCTGTATGATATTTTCATTACCTGTTTATAAAGCAACTGCTCATTTTCTCTAGCATAACAGAACAGAACATCTGTAAGAATTTTTCTCACACTCTCTTGCTGGAAATACTGCATTTCAGGAAATCTGAAAAAAGAAAAACATTTTATTAATGTAAACCACATAGCTCACAAAAACTACCTCAGACACTTGATTTAGATATACATCTGGGCATCTACAAACAGTCCTAGGTATGCTATTATATCTGTTCTCAGGTACCCATTTTCTCTATGTATTGGGGTTCTTCTGGAATAACAATTAAAGGAAAAAGTTGTGGTATTTATTTTGCAAACAAAGCTTTGTGAACCATATAATTTAGCATATATCAAGCCTCTAAGTATATATCACACTGAAGGCATGATACCCTATGATTAAAGACTAGAGTTATACAAGAACAAAATTAAATGGCAGGTAGAATGTTCTAATTACCAAATTTTTTGTAAGTAACCATGCCTGAAGCCGGGCGGGGGGGAGAACACGTTGTCCAGGCTTGCTGCAGGAAGGTAGCAGTGCATTACTGGGGGGGACGGGACGGGAAGGAGGTCAGAAACTGCTGTAAAAAGGTGGCTGGAGGTCAGCTTGGCGACACTGACTCATCCCCTGGGAATGTAAGGGTGGAAGCTTTTGAAAGGCACAAATCCTGGTGTTAGAAGCCCTTTCTCCAGGCAGCAAACAAGGCAGCACTCACCCTCCCACCCCTCGAGGTGCAAATATCAGGTTGAGTTAGGACCTGCTATGGGCATTGCGCTAGTCACTCCTTTTTAGGAGGGATCGGAAGGAATTTTTCCCTCACCACCATATTGGCATAGGTGGAGTGGGGTTTTTTCGCCTTCCCCACATCGGGCGTCAGGGAGGACCTATTATGGTGAGGAGGAAAGGGGGTTAAAGCTATGTGTCACAACTTATTTTGTAAGTGTGCAGGTACTCCATAGGGAAGGCATCCAGTGACCAGATAAATGGCCTGGTAAAGGACTTGGAAAGGAGGTGCTGATTAAAAGAATGGACTGGGGAGTGGTTCAAGGCTCCTATGATTGGTACCGCAGGAAGCCAACCCCTCTTTCCTACAGCCCACCTTACTCTTCCTACCGGGGCGGGGGGAGAAGGGGGAAGAGGAAGAGGTGGGTGGTAAGGTCCAAGCCATGAGTTGGCTGGAGGACCTAGATGGAAAATGAAGGGGGGCTGATGGAAGCCCTGGGTAGTTATTTCAATGAACATGGAGTTGCCTGCACTGTACACTTATCTGCCAGGCAGTCCCAGACATCTAATAATAAAGTTGTAGCCTGATTAAATCCATATCAAGTGTCTCTTATCCTTCTTTCAGTATAGCCAGACAATGTGACTGACCTGGAGAATCTAATCCACAAGACAGTGTGCTATATAAGAACATGATGCCCACTGCCAGAGTTCCAAAGTATGCAGGTCCCGTGGCTTTTCCTTGAAGAGACCCTTGCTCAAGTAGAGAGTAAGAAGATGGAATGAGTGGGCAGAGGAGTGGGGAAGCAGCTGTCAAAGCAAGGGGGGAAGGCTCCTTCCCTCCTGTACCCAGACTCCTGCTGTAAGATCTAGCAAACCGGGGACCATGCTGCTCTCAGGAGGCCCTATGTGACCTACCACAACATCTCCAATTGCTTCTACTTCCAGTTTGTGCCCACTGGTTGATCAGTTCTGCGCTAAAGGGTTCAAAAATAGCTCAGGATGTATTCATGATATGGCAAAAGAGACTACTAGTCATTCGAACATTTGATTTCAGGAAAATGAAACACTGAAGAAACAAAAGGCCTCAAATAATTAAAATATACTTGCTTGAATGCTTTGAATGTGATTGAGGTTGCCAACTGCAACTGAAATATCAGGACTATCCTGCTATTTCAAGATCAGTACTCAGTTCTTAGCTCCATTTGCAAGATTAAAAAATGGGCAAAGGAAGCCATTAAAAATAGTACAACTGATACATTCGCTGATTTATAAATCGTCAACATGGTATACAGGGAGTACAAGTGTGGAGATTAATGTATATCGAAGTTCAATAATTTGTGCTCTTTTGGGGGAACCTTAAGGTATTTTTATAAAAAGGGATGCTGTGATAAATGTTTTATGATGTCACAAAGATATCTAGGAAACTGCGCAAGTAACACACAAAACTCTGGGATCTGATCAATAGATAATTATAATGGGAGTTGCATTCACAACTGAAGAAATAATAGGGTTCCTGAAGTTCTTGAAGTCTAGCAAACTCTCATTTATCCTAGTCCTGTTGAACCTTTCTATAATGCCTAATCATCCTATATCAGATTTTCAGAAGTGGCAGTCTGGGGGACCACCTTAATTTCAAGAAATCACTTGATACTTTTGCAGAAATAAAATTTATGACAGGAGAGAATGAGCTATGAACAAGTGTTAAAAAACTTAAGAGGCAGGAAATAGAAGATGTCAGAAGGCTGGGGAAAATCCTGTTGCCCAGTAATCCAAGGCAATGCAAATATTAATCTGTAACTACTGGCAAGCAATGTATTCCTGTACAATCTGCTCCTGGAACATTCAAAGGAGAGGCAAACTGAAGGATTTAAAGTTATACAGGATGTTCCTCAAAAATAAGCCCACACCAAAGCAGCCTGGATTTGAGAAGGCTCCACACTTGCGAGAAATAGTGACTGTTTGAAACAGTAACAAACAAAAGAAGAGGGTACAGTGCAGAGAACTAGACAAAGGAATAGAACAGGGGTGGCCAACTTGAACCTGAGAAGGTGCCAGAATTTACCAATGTACATTGCCAAAGAGCCACAGTAATAAGTCAGCAGCCTCCCATCAGCTCTCCCCCGCCACTCCCAGAGCCTCCCACCTACCGGCAGCCCTGCCAATCAGCGCCTCCCATTCCCTCCCCGCACCTCCCGATCAGCTGTTTCATGGCGTGCAGGAGGCTCTGGGGGGGAGGGGGAGGAGCGAGGGCACGGCAGGCTCAGGGGAGGTGGCAGGAAGGGGTGGAGTGGGGGCAGGGTGTGTGGTAGAGACAGGGGTTGAGCGGTGAGCTCCCCCCCCCGGCACATTGGAAAGTTGGCGCCTGTAGCTCCCGCCCCAGAGTTGGTGCCTATACAAGGAGCTGCATATTAAATTCTGAAGAGCCGCATGTGGCTCCGGAGCCACAGGTTGGCCACCCCTGGAATAGAACAACACTTCAAAAGATAACTCAGAACTGTAGTGTCTATTGGTCAGCAGATTGATTGTTGACACTTATTCCTGAAAGTCTGCTTAATTTTTCTAGTAATTAAAATAAACACACAGCAGTGGCTGACAACTCTCAAAGAATGCCTTGTGTTTAAGTTTTCACTTTCCAGGCTGTGAATTGGTGCATATGTGAAACCTGGTTGTGTGTGCACAACCAAGTATTTTGTGTATATTACATAGGAACAAATGAATGACTATGTTATGTTCAATGTCTCTACTGTCCACCTCTAAGAGTGTGAAAATGTAAACACAAGCTGCTATTTTGGTGTGATCACCCAAATATGGCAGGTTTTTCTTCTTTAACATTATAACACTGGGCAGATTATCAAGATTAACACGCCAAAATCAATTCTATTAAATTACTCATGGAAATGTTTTTGCTTCAATTAGATTAAAAATGTGATACTGAGGGAGAGATGTGAGGGGTTGAAGTTGTTCCTTTAAAATATCCAAAAAATTGGGCAAACATACATTTTTAATGTAAGACTGAACTATGTTTTAAATGTGTATTGGAACAGCCTCTTCTAACCTTTTCCTCTATCATAGATGATAACAGTGAAAGAAGGCTATAGCAGAACAGTTGAGGGAGGAGATAAAATAAGTGAAATACTGCAATTGGGCTCATTATTCACACTTGTTTTGTTATTATTGTGTTGACCATTCAAAAGGAATTTGCAGATATACAATGGAAAAGATAGATTAGATAGACAGAGGTTCAGATGGTGCTCAGGGGTTGGAACAGTTTAATTATCTCAGGTCTTTAGCATCAGTTCCTATGTCAGAAACTATAGTCCAAAAGGAAGCGTAACACGAAATATCTGCTTGGAGAAAGACAAGTGAGTGATCATGGATAAAACTGTACAGTGCCAAGCATAATGGGGCCTCTAGGTGCTACCAGACTATAAATTATCCAAAAATAAAAGCTTCATGTAAAGTACAATATGAACAGGACATAAGGTACTCCAGTTAGCGCAGTACTTCTGCCTTCCATTTCTGGCTTTTGCACTGTCTTCTTGTGCCTGGCTGTGTAAATTACTTAACTCTATGGCTTAGGTTAACCAGCTGCAAAGTGGATACAATACTGCCAACCCCAAATGTTAAAAAATGAGAATCATTTGGAAATCATTTTAAAGACAAACTTGGTGTTCTTTCATTTAGCTGCTGGTTTTTGAGCCATTAGGGTTCAGTGGGATCACATTTTCATGCTTTTCGCCACAACCATGAGGCCTGAACCATTTCTTTAAATGAAAACTCAGATTCTCACATATTCATTTGATTCCAGTAGCTAAGATTAAGAAAAACACCAATTATAATGAGACTTGAGAGAAAACTGTGAGAGTTAGCGACACTGTGGGTACTCACAAAAATAATAAAGGCTTAATTATTTAATGCTCGAAAAATGCTTTGAAATCCTCAGATGTGAGCCACTATACAAATGCCAGATACTGAGGCACAGTTAGGTGACTTGAAAATGGTAGCATTGAAGATAACAAGCAAGGTATTAGGCAGTGCCATTACTACGGATTTTAGTGTCCGAGGCGAGCAACCATATTAGTGCCCCCAATTAGAGTCCTGCGTGGGACTATTTTTTTTAATCCCGCTCCCATCCTGCCCCACAATACCTACTCCCACCTGCTCCCGCACTGTTTGTTGAATTTTTATCCCACTCCCACTATTAAGGCAGCGGGTCCTGCAGGATCCCAATCCCAGAGGGCAGCGGGACTGGGATCCTGCAGGTCCTGCTGCCATAATAGTGGGAGTGGGATAAAAATTCAACAAGCAATGTGGGAGCAGATGGAACTGGGAGCAGGTATTGGGAGCGGGATGGGAGCGGGATTAAAAAAAACAACAGTCCTCCCATGCTG